AGTTTTCTTTCAGTTTTTGATATTGTGATTGATTTTATTCTTTTTTTTTTTTTTTTCTTAGTTTTCTCTAAGGGGATTTATTATTTTCTTCCAATTTTTTTGTTTGTCTTTTTTTCCATTTCCTTAAGGGAATTTTCAATTTTCTCCTTAAGGGTCTCAAACATCTTCAGTTATTTTAAATGTCGTATTCTTCTGCCTCATCTGTGTTGGGGTGTTGAGGCATGCTAGTTTAGCTATAGTAGTAGTTTAGCACCACTAGTTTCTGGTAGTGCTGTATTGCTCTTTATGTTGTGAGTGTACTCTTACCTTGTTGTCTTTCCATCTCCTCCTCCAATTGGTATATGTGCAGCCTGTGTTTCAGGGGGTCCCTCTTCCTGCTATTGGTGTAGTTGGGGGCTGTGGCTCTGGTGATTGCTCCTTCAGGTGGAGGTGGAGTCACAGTTTTGCTCATCACTCCTCTAGGTAAATGTGGGGCTGAGGCTCTGGTGGTCAATGCAGCAGCTGGGTGTCTCTTACTGAGAAATGTTAGTGGATGCTGAGTGGGACACAGGTGCTCTTTCCCTGAGGAACTTAAGATGCTTTTGGAAGCCACTGCTGGAAGCTGCTGCAGTTGTCACTCCCCTCGGTCACTCACAGGATGACTCAGGCCTCTCTCTGAACCTCCCATTGGCTCTGACCTCTCTCAATCAAGTTTTTTGTTTGTTTGTTTGTTTTTTTTGTGACTAATGCTAAAGGTGAAGCTGCTGTCCAGGTAATCCATTAATGACTGGCTCTGAACAGAAAATCCAAAAATGCAGTCGTTGCTCCATCTACAATGCTGGCTGTCTCGGCTGGTCTTCAATATATGCTGGAATTCCTAAAGAAGTAGCTTCAGTGACAGTGCTAGCAGGGAATGAGCACACAAGTAGGCAAGGAGCCGACCCTCAATTTTGTTTGTCAAAACTTTTACGTGAAAGTCCTTTTGTGAAGTATAGATGAGCACTAAGATGGGCCTGTGCCCACAACTAAGACTAAGGAAGAAAACACCAAAACTTCTGAGTTCCTTCCTCCGGCTGTCTCTGAAATGTTATCCAGAATTGGTGGTAAAGGACCATTGGCTTTTTGTGACATGTGGGAGAGCATATCTCCTGCCCACTTTGTTTTGTGTAACTGAATTTGACTTATTTATGTACTATGTCCACAATAAAGTGCAAAAGCTATGATTTTTTTCTTTGCTTTTTTTCGGAGTCACTTTAACGTAAGAACATATTTAACTGAACCGCTTAAATTATATTCTCATGTGAGGTAAAGTATCAATTTTCTTATTAAAATAATTAGATATGAGGAAAAATTTTTAATGAAAATACTTGAACCATTCTTTTCATCCTAAATTCTAGAAAAAGAAAACAATGTCGTGGTTCCTGTATTCATGGGTAATAATTATTGACTAAAAAGGAGGAGTTAGTTCAATGGTAGATCAGCGGTCGAGTACTTAAGGACCTGAGCTCCACGTTTAGCTCCACGGGGGGAGCTGACATAGTTGTGTTAGTTGCATAGCACTCAGAAGGGGTGGATTTTTGTTGTTGTTGTTATTGTTGTTTGTTTGTTTGGGTTGGGATGGGTTGGTTTGTGGGTTGGTTTTGTTGTTTGAGACAGGGTTTTTCTGTGTGTCCCTGGCTGTCCTGGAACTCACTCTGTAAGCCAGGCTGGCCTTAAACACAGAGATCCTCCTGCCTCTGCTGGGATTAAAGGTGTGCACCACCACCACCCTGGTCAGAGGGGGTAATATAATTATGCTGTAGGATTGGAGCTCAGTGCTGAGTGCCCAGAGCCTCTGTCATCATAGCTCATTGTTTCTTTTTTGTTTCTTGGTTTGGTTTTTCAAGATAGTTTCTCTGTGTAGCTTTGTAGACCAGGTTGGCCTCAAACTCAGAGATCTGCCTGCCTCTGCCTCCCGAGTGCTAGGATCAAAGGAGTAGGTCACCACTGCCCAGCTTCATTGTTTCTTTAATTCCTGCTTGATAGTGTTAGAATCTTGGATTGAAATGTAAAACATGCATATGCATGGGTGAATGCACAGGCACACACACAGTCAAAAATAAAAGAGGAAAGAAAAAGCACTTAGAAGGGTCAGGAATTCACAGACATCCTCAGCTACACTGTGAGTTAAAGGAATACTGGGCTTCATGAGGCTCTTTCTCAGGAAAAACAAAAAAACCCAAACAAAAAAACAAGCTGCCCAACACAGATATTCTACATTAATGAGAATGAGTTAATAAAAAACTAAATGACGGCTTTTTTCTTCTTTTGCAAAGAAGAAGCGCTATGTAAACAAGCAATCAATAAGAGGAATCGGAGTAGAATCCGCCAGTTGGACACAAGTGTGGAGCGAAGAGCCCTTGGGGAGATTCAGAATGTGGGTGAAGGCTCCACAGCTTCACAGGGCACCTGGCAGTCTTCTGAGTCCTCACAGTCAAACCTCGGGGAGCAGACGCAGAGCGGACCCCAGGGAGGAAGGTCTCAGCGTCGGGAGAGGCATAACCGGATGGAAAGAGATAGAAGGTAATCCAGTGATGGACCAGGGGCTCCATCCATACAGTTGTCTTAGGTGTGCTGGCCTTTTCCTGTGATAGTTCACCCTCTGGAGGCTTAGAAGTCCTTAGACTCAGTGATCTCTGATGGACTCGTGCTCTGGCTACAGTAGCAGGCAGGATACAAAGCAAAATGACCCAGGTGTGTGAGAAGAGCTAGCAAGCACCTTCCCAGAATTCTTCTCCTGGAAGGTTACACATGACTCCAGTGTTGTGCTCCAGAAGCAGCAGTATGGTGCCACCAAACAGGAGGGCTCATCGTCACATGACAGTCCCTGTCAGGCACCCTGTAACTAGCAGGCTCCCAGTGTGAGCCATGTTGCTTACAGAGTTGAGGTTCTGTGGGCTGCTGTTCACTAGTCTCCCCAAGCCCGAGTTCCCAGACACTAGAAGGCCAGCCTTGTCAGCAGGTCTTTAAGGAGTATTGGGCCTTCAAGTTAACTGCACAGTAGGTAACATTGTAGCTTAATGTTTTATTTAGGGTAGCCAAGAGGCTGAGGAAGGAGGATTGCTTACAGTTTGAGGACAGTCTAGGATATGTAGTGAGTTATAGGTCAGTCTTGAATAGCAAGACCCTTCATCCAAAAAAGAAAGGAAAAGGGAGAAAGGAAAGAAAGAAAGAAAGAGAGAGAGAGAATGTTGGGAAAGAAGAAGTTAAAACTGTTATTGAAGTGAGTTACATAAAAGTGAGTTTGGATGTTATATGTGCTCCTCTAGGTAGTATAAAAGTTTGTTTATTTTTCTCTGTTGAAGTTGGGTTTTTATTACAATCAATTTGGTCATTTATGAGTATTGTGTATGTGTTTTCAGCTCAGGAATAATGCTATTTAATGAGACAGTATTGTGTATTAAAGTTCCATTATTGAATGAGACAAGGTGATTTATTGCTTCTTAGAGGAATGTGTTAAAACTAGGTAAATACCTTTCTTCCTTCTTTTTTTTTTTTTTTTTTTTTCTTTTTTTTTTTTTTTTTTTTTTTTTTAGACCAGGCTGGCCTCAAACTCACAGATATCTCCTTGCCAATTTTTTTATGTGTATGGTGTTTTACCTGCATGTATGTCTATACACTATTTGTGTGCCTGTGGAGGCCAGAAGAGGGTGTTGGATCCTGAGTCCAGAGTTGTGAGCCACCATGTGCATGCTGGGAATTGAACCTGTGTCCTCTGGAAGAGCAGCTAGCCACTGAGCCTTCTCTTCAACTGTGTTATTCTTTGTGTGTATGAGTATTTTGCTTATGTGTATGTTTGTGCCTGGTGACTGCTACGACCGGTCAGGTCATCTCTGGAATTGTAGTTACAGATAGTTGGGAGCCACCATGTGGGTGCTGGGGATCAGAGGTAGGTCTGCCAAGAGCAAAACATGCTCTTAACTGTTGAGCCGTCTCTCCAGTCCCATTGCATTTTTTTTTTTTTTTTTTTTTTTTGAGGCAGGGTTTCCTTCTGTAGCCCAGGCATTTTTCTTATTATTCCTGTACAAAGGTCATGGTATACCTGAGGGACTTCCTTTAGTCTACTGTGAATTGTAAATTGAGTACTGCTCACCCTGATGTGTGTTTAATGAGCACATATGGGATCTCTGCTCTGTGGAATTCTTGAGACCAACTAGTTTAATGGCTTCTAATGAGTTCTGTGCTTCTTGAGTTTCTCATCTATAGGATAAAGTTGTTACTTACCACAGACTTGAAGTCAGAACTACTTGAGCTAGGGAAAGGGTTTAGGCCCTTGGCTAGAAATTGGGGTGCATCTAGTAGGTACCAGCTGCCGTTTGACTGCAGGTGTGTGGGTGTGAAGGTGTGTAGAGTGGACTGCATGTACCGTGTAACTGTACACTGTATAGCACAGTGAGGGCTTTGTCTATTACTAGGTGTGATATGTAAAGCTTAAAGCAGGCTGTGACTTAATTCTCTCAAGAAGATTTTTCTTCAATGCTGGTGATGGGAGCCAGGGCCCCAGAGAATAATAGGCAGACATTCTGCTGAGCTTCAGCCCCAGCCCTAAATGCTCTAAAAATGGATACATTTATTTTTATTTTTATTGTTTTTCAAGACAGGGTTTCTCTGTGTAGCTTTGGAGCCTATCCTGGCACTGGCTCTGGAGACCAGGCTGGCCTCGAACTCACAGAGATCCGTGGATACATTTATTTTTATGAGACAGGGTCTCACTGCATTGCCAGGCTGACCTTGGATTCATGACTGTTGTGCCTGAGCCTCTGAGGTGCTTTATTAGAGGTGTGCATCATCAGGCCCCACTCCGTCTGAAAGCTATGCCTGTGCCTGAGCACATATCTCTACACGGGAAGCAAGTCATGCTTCCTGAATAACCATGGGGCTGGTTTTGGAGCTCAGTGTCCAGCACTGCAAGAAAAGAAAGAGAAAACAATGGGAAAAAAGCACTTGCCCAGGAATTTTGTTCTTGAGTTCAGGGATTTGCAGTCATTCCTGGTGTAGAGAGCTGGCCCATGAGAAGGAAACAGAGAAAGTGTAGGGAGCCGCAGGCTACTGGGCCACTGCAGGTTCTCTGGTGACCATGGCAGCAGTGGCCTCTGTGGACAGGTGCTTAGTGCCCACTGGCTCGCCTGAGGCTTCCGGGTGGGACGCGCTTCCTGCTTTTGGAGGTGAGCTCCATGCATACTGCTTTGTTTGAATGAACAATGAACTCTGTTGCTCCTGCACTTCACCAGCCGTCCTGTGTGATTACTGTGGATTTTGACTGCAGGCGCAGAATCCGCATTTGCTGTGATGAGCTGAATCTTTTAGTTCCGTTCTGCAATGCAGAGACAGATAAAGCAACAACCCTTCAGTGGACCACAGCATTCCTGAAGTACATTCAGGAAAGACATGGGGATTCTCTTAAAAAGGTGAGTATTGTGGCGTGGACCTCAGTGTTCCTGAACTGCGCTCAGAGAAGATGGGGTTTCTTGATGTGGTGACTGCAAAGGTGGGCAGAAACCTGAGAATTCTCTGTTGTAGTTGTCAGTGTTGCTTCTTATCCTTTCTTCCTGGACTCTGAGGATGGATATGAAGTTCAGTATGAAGGGAGTTCTGCTTGTTGATGCCACTTACTAAAGTCATAGTCACAGCCCAGATTTGCTTATGAAATACAGGTGACTGTCAAATGTCAATTGTTAGATACCAAATTGAGTACATGTTGTGCATAGTATATTGTGTTGGATCTGAATGGCATTCAGGGCATGATTTTTTCCTCTCAGAACATGGCAAGGACAGCAGACATAGTTCAGTGGTAGAATACTTGCCTAATGTTTGTCAAGCCCTGGGGAGGAGAAAAATGAAAGCTTTGAAAAACCGTGAAAGTAAGAATAGCAATGGGCAGGGATGTGAGAAGCAGATAAAATCAGTAGTCTGGACCTCTGGCTTCAGAAGACAAATTATTAGATTTCTGTGGTGTGTGTAACCAGTACAGGCTGAGCCACCAGTGCTCACACACTTCTTGTTCTTTGGGGACCACTGCACTCTGTTCCTTTCTTTCCACACATGGGCTGGGATAGCTAGCCAGCCCTCTTGGTTCTGCAAGGACTGATGATTGCTTTGGGAGTCAGCTTAGCCCTGGGATGGGCTGGTAGAAGAAAGAGAGTAATGTTAGGTTTTGGCCTCAGAATTCTGGTGGTCACAGCTTATGGCCTTTGTCCTTCAGGGTATTAAGGGCTTAGGGAAGTAAGTGACCACCTGGTGTATTAGGGTTCTCTATAGGAACAGAACTGATAGAATGAAAGAGAGATTTATTTGAATGGCTTAGAGGCTGTCTTAGGGTTTTTATTGCTGTGAAGAGACATCATGACCACAGTAACTCTTACAAGGAAAACATTTCATTGAGGGGGCTCACAGTTTCAGAGATGCAGTCCATTGCCATCATGACAGGGAGCATGGCAGCATGCAGGCAGATGGTGTGCTGGAGGAGTAGCTGAGAGTCCTGCCTCTTGCAGGCAGCAAGATGTCAACTGACTGTTACATCGAGGGAAGATTGAGCAAGAGAGACCACAAAGCCCACCCCACATAGTGACAAACTTCCTCCAATAAGGCCACACCTCCTAATAGTGCCACTCCCTTTAGAGGCCATTTTCTTTCAAGCCACCACACAGGCTATGGTCCAGCTAATACAACAATGGCTGTCTACCAATGGAAGGTTCAAGAATCTTGAGCACACACTTGAATCCAGAAGAAGTAGGCTCTAATGCTAGGGAAGAAATGAAATTGCCAGCAAGAGCAAGCAGGCAAAGAGAGCACACTTCTTTTTCTTTTTTCTTTTACTTATTATTTTTATTATTATTTTGATTTTCTGTTTATGATACTTAATTTTCTTTTCTTTTTTTTGTTTTCAAGACAAGGTTTCTCTGTGGCTTTGGAGGCTGTCCTGGAACTCACTCTGGAGACCAGGCTGGCCACGAATTCACAGAGATCCTCTGCCTCTGCCTCCCGAGTGCTGTGATTAAAGGCGTGTGCCACCACTGTCCGGTGTCATGCTTAATTTTCAGATGGAAACAATAGCCAAGTCATAATTGTCCTTACTGATATAAGTGTTTGTCACACAACCACAAATGTATTATAAATTTAGAATAGTTGATAGTGTCCCTTGAGGTACATTCTTTTAGTATCTCAAACTTAAATATGATAACAACTGATAGTCTCTTAATTGTTGTTGCATTATATGATAAAGAAACCAAGGAAAGAAAATACAAGTATCTATACAAACATATTTTTTAAGATTTATTTATTATATATACAGTGTTCTGTCTGTATGTATGCGTGTAGGCCAGAAGAGGGCACCAAATCTTATTACACACAGTTGTGAGCCGCCATGTGGTTACTGGGAATAGAACTCAGGGCCTCTGGAAGAGCAGACAGTGCTCTTAACCTCTGAGCCATCTCTCTAGCCCACAAACATGTTCTTAACAAAATATGACAGAAACACTGTCGACTATAGTCCTCATTTCTGCAACTGGTCACATGGCCAGTATACAGTAACCCTTGTAAAAGGTTGTAAGTCCCTCTGGGGGAGGACTGAAAAAAGGCTAACAGTAAAACTCTTTGGTAATTTATCAAGGTCCTTCCTCAGGGATCTGGCCATCCCTTCATTCAAGGGGTTCTGGGTCTGTAAATTGGCTCATGTCTGAAAACTGGTCCATGGGCCAAGACTCCCTTTGCCACAATCCAGTGTAGCCTTTTTTTTTTTTTTTTCATTTGTTTGAGAATTTTTTAGCTTATTCAGATCAAACAAAAATGCAGTAGGCCTCTTAACGTAATTCATTCCTGGAAACACCATGTTTGGCTAGCCAGTTCCAAAGGTCTGTACTAATCATGACAACATAAAATTCACTTTGTTCTGACCATTATAAGTCAGGCCGCTATGGACATTGCTTTGTCTATGCTGCCCATATGATAACTGCAATTCCTTGCCTTTGATGATTCAGGGCTGCCATTGGGCCCCTGATACTTCGGGCCTTAAACCCAATTGCATTTAATTTATCCAAGTGAGTAGCAGCATCTCCAGCCCTAAGGTGTTGTGGAAAAGGATGAAAACAAAACTCTTCAAATGTGCTGGTGTCCCTCTCACTATTTTGTGTTTTACAGGATTAGTGAAGGGCATATCTTCTAGGCTTTCCCATTGTGGAGGGTTAGGTTTTACACAGTGTACCACCTTTAGCATTGTAGTTTCCCTGAGTGTTAATATCCCTTCATCAACAAAAAGCCAAGGGATAGCAGGCATTTCCAACTCCTTTTCCTGGGCCACCTTTTGACAAATGCTTCAGCCAACCATTCCACCAATACTGACTCCCTTTTTTTTTTCCCCCTTAAACTGTGTGAATTTCCCTATTAAACCTAGAGTCTTCATTCAGAGGGCCCATATCAATCAACTCAGCCTGATCCAGTTTTATGTTCCTTCCACCATTATCCCACACCCTTAAAATCCATTCCCACACATATTCTCCATGTTTGAAGGAGTTATAAATCTCATTAAGCTCTTTAGTATTATAGCACACCTTCTCATGAAGTACACATTCTATCTCCCATCTAGGAGCCTGCTTGGCCTTAAGTCTGGTATAGGTCTAGAGGCGTCTACTGACAGGCTCTGAGGGACATCAGTATTGTCTTGCCTTGTGTCTCCTTCAGAGAAATTCATTGCTGGTTTAGCAGTTGATGAAGGATTAATTTCCTTAGTTAAAGGTGGGAAAGGGGTGGGGGTGTTCATCTTCTGCAGAGGGTGGAGAGGCTGCTTCCTCAAATGAGATAAACCCATGAGAATCTGAGGGTTCAAAATTCTCAGCTTCAGTAGAGTCCTCCCACAAATCCCCATCCCAAGTGACAGGATTCCATTCCTTACCAATTAATGCCCCTACTTTAATCACTGACACTCTCTGGGGATGGGACTTGAATTTTCTCTGTAATTCAGCCAATCTTATAATGAGGGCTTCCGTTTGATTTTCCACGCTTGAACTCTGTGTTGCTGGCAAGAAGACTGTCTTCCAGGACACACTTAGAAGCTTTTAGACTGTTTGTAGGCACATGGAGCCAGTAATCTTATCACTGAGCTCATTGTTGTTTTTCACAGTATTCTGAGGTGCTACAAGTTGGTTAGTTTTATCATGAAGCTCATTCTTTTCCTTTGTCAGTTTATCCAGAGATGATAGGAGCAACCAACCAGCATCATCATTTTCCTTTTTCTACAAATTGTCAAAAGGTTTATATAGTCACCAAATCCAATGTCTCTCATAGTTGGTGAGTTGGGCTAATCAGATGCATTTGCCTCCTTAAGTTTGTAAAATAGGTGACACTATGGGTTTTCTAGTACTCTCTGAACTTCCAGGAGAGGCTTCAGTAACTGTAGGTGTTGGCAAATTGGAAAGCCTATTTAAGATACTTAAAAATTCACCCCCAAACTTCTGTTGCTCTAGAGCCACTTCTGTACCAAAATCTGCATTAGTCAGGGCTTTCTAGAGAAACAGAACTGATATAGAATGAGTCTACATATATATATTATAGTGTATAGGTAGATAGATGTGTGTATATATAAAGAGGATTTATTAGAATGGCTTACAGTCTGAGGTTCAGCTAGTCCCAACAATGGCTGTCTACCAGTGGAAGGTCCAAGAATCCAGTAGTTGTTCAGTCCGTGAGGTCTCAGCTGGTCTTCAGTACACACTGGAATCCTGAAGAAGTAGGCTCTAATGCCAGTGAAGGAATGGACTTGCCAGCAAGAGTGGGAGCGAGCAGGCAAAGAGATAAAGCTTCCTTCTTCCATGTCCTTTAAATAGGCTGCCAGCAGAAGGTGTGGTCTAGATTACAGGTGGATCTTCTCACCTCAAAAGATGCAGATTAAAAGTGCGTCTTCCCACTTTGAATGATTTAAGAAAAAAATCCCTCACAGATGTGCCTGGCTGCTTTGGGTTAGTTAATTCCAGATGTAGTCAAGTTGACAGTCAAGAAGAGCCGTCCCACCTGAGTACTGACTTTGGACCAATATTCTGCGGAGCTCATGAGGAGTGTGTTGGAGAATGGGTTCAGATGATACAGCAAACCTGGAGCCTTGACAAGGGCCCCTGTGAGAGACCTGCCAGGGCCCCAGCCACACTGAATGGGACCTTGACATCCTTGTTTTTGTCCCTTTCCACCATCTGTGTCTGAGTGGTATTTACATCTGTTTAATGCAGCATTGTGGGCTGTTTTTAAGTGCACTTAGCGCACTGCTGCCTACTCTGCTTGGATTTTTATGGTTATTTGATAACATTGTTTGCTACAATAGACTGCTGGTCTGTCTTAAAATAAAGCTTTACAATTTGTTAAAAAGATTTAGTCTTTGGCTCTGTGTTCCTATTTGTGGTAAATTGTTGATGTAATCCAGTCC